GTGTGTGTGTGTGTGTGTGTGTGTGTGTGTGTGTGTGTGTGTGTGTGCGTGGTATTCCCTAGGTAGCCATGACTCTATGAGTTATGACTTGGATGTCAACTCCTCAATAATAGAACCCGACAGACTAAAAATATTCAGCAAGATTTGTTGTGTATGTAAAATGGTGCGCAGATGGGCCGTCACTCAGGTCAGTACCGACTGCATGTTGTGCATATGCATATATATACTGTATATTCATTTCAGAAATAGACAGGGGAGTGTTTGTTTGACTGTTGTCATGGATTGTGACGCAGGAGGAGACCATCACAAAGCAGCTGGATGCAGGAGTTCGCTACCTCGACCTGAGGATCGCTCGCAAGGCCCGTGACCGCGACCCCACCCGGCTTTACTTTTATCATGGGCTGTACACGAGGACGGATGTGGAGGTAGAGATGAGCTCATTTACGTTACGCAAACGTCAATAAATAGTGAGGAGTAAATCAACATTTATGGATCGTTAGTCTGCAGGGGTATCTGGATTTTTTATACTCGAGACAGTAAATATATCAATAAATAAACAAATATCTTACAGAAAATATCACTGAACACTAAGCCGAATAATTACAACGTGACATGTACCTGAAGAAATACTGATATTTTAGAGGCATTATATTTGATGTGTGAAAGGGAGACATGTACTCATGACCTCAGCATTTCTAAAATCCTGGTTAAAGTGGACTTCTGGCCAGTGATTTGACCATACATTACGTTTTACTGTGAGCAACAGTGAAACCAAAATTAAAATGTGATATATCGATATCTAAAAGAAAATAAGTACAGTGGAGAATATGTCTTTGTTTGACGCCAGCTGTATTAAGAACCAGCATTCTGCCACTGTGACAGACTGTTCTCAGGGCCATACATGACTGGGCAGAGAGGCACCCCAAGGAGATCCTCATCCTGGCTTTATCCCACTTCCAAGGGTTTGACAAAACCATTGGCGCCCAGCTCCACAAACATCTCATCAGCTTTATCTTGACCTTGTTTGGAGCCAAACTCATCCATATCAGGGTAAAGTATACAGAATATTTCCGTTAATATCAAGTCAAACATATAGCTCATCATTAAAGGAACAGTTTTTTTGAAGTGGGGTTGTATGCGTTACTTATCCACAGTCACAGTGTGTTACCTACGGTCGACGGGAAGCTGGATGCACTGCTGCGGACGGGGGCAGCAGCAAAACAAAAAAAAGGCCCACCTGATATAATCAATATCAGTTTAAGTATCAATATATATATATTGATTATTTTCACCTCTCGCTGTCACGCAGCCTTTTTCTGACGAGGGAACTGAAGCTGTTATATCTACGCTCTCTTCAAATCCACAAGACTCCTTTGACAAAACCAGTAATGTTACCTGGCAGAACACAGGAGTTAATAGTTAACCGCTGCTTCGACCACAATAACACAAACTAACTAACCGGTCAAGGCAGACCAGCAACTTCCGTGTTCTGCAAAGGTTCAATTGCTGTTTTTGTAAAAGCAGTCTTGTGGCTTTGAAGAGACCGTAGATAGAACATCTTCAGTACCCCGTCGAACAGGAAGTGTATAGCACACACTTAACTGATACAGATTTATTTTTTTTTTCGGCGGGCCTTTCTTTCAGTAGCTAATAGCAGTTTTGCTGCTGCCCCCATCCACAGCTGTACTTTGCTTTGCTCCTGTCTGTTTTATCCAAACTAGGGGGCGCGCTGACCGCCATCTACTGTAGAACACACACTGACTATAAATAAGTACCTCATGGGACCCCACTTCAAAACATCTGGACTATCCTTTTAAAGGAGCCTACCTGCTGTAAACTATTAAAAACCTTCAAATACAAATGAGGTGAGCTTATACCAGCTCCAAAATGAAATCTCTCAATGTATCGCAACAGGACACCCCTACCCTGAGGAGCTGCTGGGACAAAGGCAGAAACGTCATAGTCTCATATGACTATCCGACGCTACAGCACGGCGAGCTGTGGAGTAAAATACCTTACTACTACGGCGATAGTATGGACACCACAAAGGTTGAATCCAAACTCAGTCACATGTTGGAGACGGCAAGGCCTGTTAAGTGTGAGTTTTCTCCTTTCTTGCCGCGGATAAAATCACATCCATTCAGTGACAAAAACACAGTGCATGATGATTACAAAAAATGTACAATTTGTTCCATGAAATGATTGCTGAGCCATCATCTGCCACCCCCCCCTTCCATGACCCTGCAGGTTTCTTTGTGTGTGGCCTGAACCTGACACTGCCAGAGGATGCCAGGATACTCAAGTACATCCTCCGCCTTTGTGGCAACTTTGCCAACGTCATACAGAGGAGTCTGCCGAGGCTGCTGCGGTGGGTGAAACAGCAGGCCGCCAAAACGCCCATGAACATTGTGGCCTCGGACTTGGTGACTCGTGATGACTTTGTCCCGACGGTGGTCAAGCTCAATGCATGGAGACCTGTGAAAGCGTAGACGCATCTCATTTTGTTCCTTCCTTTTAATAAAATAAGTTCCCTTCACATTACACTTGCTGTCCTGCTAACTCACAAAACATTGATGTACTGTAATAAAAAACCAACAACACACACTGTGATTGTTTTGTGTGTCCCTAACCTGCTGGCGCGCCACCGTGTGTCAACTCGTGGTATTGCAATACAAAATGTCTCATGCCTGCAAGTTTTGGCTGGTGTATGTCAACAAAGCAGCTAACCAACACACTTCGGTGGATTAGGATGATAAGACTAGCATGGCGTCGGTCGGCGTCCAGAAATAGCCGCGTGGAGCCCGCACGCCTTTTAGCTGCAGCTTTTTTGGGAGCGGACGGTCCTCAGCAGAACTCCGGGTGTCACGTTAGGTGCTTCAGACAGATCCTCCACCCACCAAGCGAGAGGTCACCGCGCCACCACCTTCCACAGCCGGCCTGCTACCTCAGGTAAAGAAAGCCACCGAGGCTAATAGATTGCTGACGCTAGATGTGTGTTAAAGTTCCAGCAAACATGCCTAATTTAGCTAAAGCATGAATGGCAGGTCAAATGTCGACAGACGTAATGTTGCTTGCTGCGTGCTGTGAGGACTGTAGGCATGCTTTAGACGAAAGGGGAAAGAGTTACGCCAAACTCCGTTAGAAAAATCATACGATTTAAAATGTCCCTAACATGAACTGTTACCAGGAGACATGCCACTGTGAGAAAAGACATGTAACAAAGATCCAAATGGCTCGTATTTGAATTCCGTGGAACAAGACAAGCCTCCAAGTGGCACTCATTTCTAATAATATATCAGCTTTTTCCATCAGGGTTGCCTGTTAATTTCAGGATCACACTCTGCTAACGGTAAACATTTAAGCTAGCCTTTGTGTTACATGTCATTTCTAATCCATATGTGTCACAGCTATTTCGGCCGAATTGTAGGACATGGTTTGATATATTGGAGACTGTTTTCAGTCATGCTTTATGGGGCATGAGCCTGTGGCTATAAGCAAAATGATATGAAATTGTGGAATATTCAAGCGGAAGTCTTTTGGCTAGCAGCTAGCTACAGTGCTTGACAGCTACAGCAGCTGTAGTAGGCAGCAAGCTTCTTTAGTATCGGCTCACTGACAGCGTGGTGCCGCTTCGTGTTAGTCGTTTGAATAGTGTGCATGCTGGTTAAATTAAAACAACAAATGGTAGACTCGTGTAGTAAAGTTAGCCTAGCTGTTAGCGTTAGCTATGCTCCACGCTGTCATAACAATGACACGTTTTTGACAGCAGACAGTTTGACTTGTCACAGCAGGAAAAGCACAAGTGTACTAATACCATTAGTTAGTGATGGCCAAAAAAAATCCTTTTCACAGTCCAATTATGGAATAGTGCTGGAACACCTACATAGAAATGCAGCCATATCGGGAATTATGAATTACAGCTGTGCTTGCCCTGCTATGACATGTCAACAACTCTCATGCAAACAGTGTGTTAGTTGCATTATTATTGCTCAGACCCTCTGGACACACGTCCTTTCTCAGTCATCAAATGTGCATTTGAGTATTTCAATCAATGACAGAAGTGAAGCTCGATCATTTAGGCATCAAGAGGGTATCATCATATCCCCGAATTAACAGCACAGGGACTGCTGATGGGAAAAGCATAAAGACAAGAGAAGCACAATCATTTTCTTCTACATAGCTGTCAATGTCATTCACACGGTTTTTTTCATTCTTGCAGAGGTAATAAAGCACCGAGATTAAATAACAAAAATAAGAAGTAGTAACTAAATGCACACAGAATATACCTTTGTAATATGTCTGGCTTTTGCAGATTAGTCGCCATCAATCGGTAACTAAAATTGTAAATCTATTTTTTTGCATCCAGCTCGTCTGTCTTCATGAGCATGGCGTCAGGAGGGACGTCGTCCACCTCCCCCCACAAACACACCAACAGGTTGGCCGAGGAGAGGTCGCCCTACCTGCTGCAACACGCACACAACCCCGTCGACTGGTGAGTGCACTTGGAGACGTATTTCTGTGAAGCTAACGTGATGTCACGTGTAAACCAATGTCGCGCTCGTTTCAGGTATCCCTGGGGACAAGATGCTTTCGACAAAGCCAAGAATGAAGACAAGCCGATCTTTTTATCAGGTAGATATTAATGTTTCAGTGAGGAGGGGAGGGGGGGAGAAATCACTCCATGTAGATCCAACCTACACATACCTCTGTTATGAGATAAAACACACCTCTTTTCACTTGTTGTCATATGACTCACGATAGTTGTGCTCATACTGGAAATAACACATCTGCTTGCTGTAAATCTCTCTCTGACCATCAGTGGGCTACTCCACGTGCCACTGGTGCCATGTTATGGAGAGGGAGTCTTTCGAAGACGAGGAAATTGGCAAAATCCTGAGTGACAACTTTGTCTGCATCAAAGTGGACCGAGAAGAGCGACCCGATGTGGACAAGGTCTACATGACCTTTGTACAGGTGTGTGTAGACCGTACATGTAGGTTTTCTCACACGAGCCTCTTTTGTCGTTCCCCTCTGGTGCCCTCTCATGACTTCCGGTTGCTGATGTCTGCAGGCGACCAGCGGTGGCGGAGGTTGGCCCATGAGTGTGTGGCTGACTCCTGACCTACGACCTTTCATTGGAGGCACCTACTTCCCTCCCACGGACCACGCAAGGAGACCTGGACTCAAAACGGTTCTCAAGCGAATCATTGAACAGGTAAAAGGCTTCAGCCTCTCGTGTTTGGCCCATTTAAAACCGATAAGGAGTCTCTTGAGTTACAGCAGCAGTGTGTTTGAGAAACTCCGGGGGAACGGTTGTGCCGGAGTTGTCGCTTCCATCCAGCGTTTCTGATTTAGATAATTACTTTTAAAAATATTTGGATTGAAACGAGGTGTTGTACGAGCAGCGTGGGTCCTTTCAGGAATATTTGCAATTACACCACTTTTTCTTGTTACATCAGGTAGTCAGTCCGACACAACAGTTTTAGAAGAAGCTATTTAGAATGCGCAGCAGAGGGACGGGGGGAGAAATTGCTTCAGCGAACTATTTGAAGATTAATTGGCTCTCCTCCGCCAACGGCCGCATCATTTTGATGAGCAGCATGGAAAATGAATAATATGGATTTAGGCCTATTTGCAACGCCCAACACAACAGCTCCGCTGTGGGACATGTAATGAAAAGACAAAGAGGATGAAAAGCGTTAATTTGTCTGTTATCTGTGGGGGAGATGAATCCGAGTCATCAAAACGTGCGTGTTTAGAACGCAGGAACAAGGAAGTCCTCTTGTCTTCGTTTTGCTCTCGGCATCTTCTCCGTCCCTCCCTAACATGTGACATAAGTTCTCCTCATGATCCCCAGTGGCAGAATAACCGCCCTGCTCTGGAGTCCAGCGGAGAGAGGATCCTTGAAGCCCTGAAGAAGGGCACGGCCGTCGCCGCGAACCCAGGAGACAGTCCTCCGCCCGCCACAGAGGTCGCTGACCGCTGCTTTCAGCAGTTAGCGCACTCCTACGAGGAGGAGTACGGGGGCTTCAGGGACGCTCCAAAGTTCCCCACACCAGGTAGACTCTGCGAGAACCCCCAGGGGACACGTTTTAGGCCTCTGGTCCTGATGAATACCCTTCATATGACTCTCTTTATTTGATCTCACACAGTGAATCTGATGTTCCTCATGTCGTACTGGTCCGTGAATCGCTCCACCTCAGAGGGGGTCGAGGCTCTCCAGATGGCCTTGCACACACTCCGCATGATGGCGCTGGGCGGCATCCACGACCACGTGGCTCAGGTTCGTACACATTTGAATAAAAACAATTTAAAAAGCAATTTGGGGGTGTCATTTTGTGCTTTTGGAAATGAATAATGAAAAACAACCTGTTTCAGCCCATGGTTGTTTATGTGCAGACACACTCACAAAAACATGGATGTACTGTATTCTTCTTCTATTCTTTCAGTTTAGGCCAGATACGTGTTTGCAAGTGGCGTGGCAGGAGAGAAGCTTATGTTGCGAGAGATGATGCAGTACATTTGAACAGAATATTAGTATGAGAAAGTATGTACTGTATCTCTCTTTATGTCCCTCTTCCGCAGGGTTTTCATCGCTACTCTACAGATTCCTCCTGGCACGTTCCCCACTTTGAGAAGATGTTGTACGACCAGGCCCAGCTGGCTGTAGCCTACGTAACTGCCTCCCAGGTGTGTGTGTGTGTGTGTGTGTGTGTGTGTGTGTGTGTGTGTGTTCTTGTTAGTGTATCCGACAGTGGTAATTATCCCCCCATCATTCCGTCTCTCTCTTATCCAAGTCATTTATCGGTATATTACGCAGTCAGCGAAAGTCGTCATTGTGAGACTTGGCAGACTTATTATTTTCTTCAGAGTAAATAACGACAGTGAAGGCGCTAATACACACATTTTTAAGGTTGTTTTTTTTTTTTACCAATTATCTCCTTAAAATATCCAAACACAGTATTTGCGTTGCATTCCGCGGTTGGTACCCTGCACATGCATCACATGATGGTATGTTTTAGGTCACGTTGAGGTGGAATCGTGACTCTGAGCAGGTGTGTGCTGTGTGTTCCTGCTTTCTTTCAGGTATCAGGTGAGCAGCTCTTTGCAGATGTGGCTAAGGACATACTGCTGTACGTCTCCAGAGACCTGAGTGACAAGGTGAATCAGCTACAGCCTTTGTGTGTGCATATGTGTTTATTTGACTGGCTACATGGGGACCAGATGTCCTCACTGGGGCAAGATATAAAAGGGAAGTTAATCAGTTAAAGAGATAGTTTGGGTTTTTGTCAGGAGGATTGTATGAAGCAGGTATTAGAGAATATATATTGGAGAAACAGGCAGGAGAACCAGCACGGAAGCAAATTGATGTACTGCTGTGGACTGGGACAACAGCATAACACATTTTTCATTGAAAATTATCAATATCAGTTTAAGTGTACGCTTTATGTGATTATTTTCACTTTATCTCGCCTTCGGACGTTCCTTTTCTTTTACCCTGCAGAACGCCTGGTCCATACCTGCCCGATGGATTAGTTAGTTTGTGTTATGATGTGTTGCGTGTTCTGCGAGGTCAAATGACTGTTTCTGCTTATCCCCATTGGAAGGAAATGTCTGACTGCAATGTATCCTGGTAAAAATATTCTAAATATAGTGTACACTTAAACTGATAATGATATATATTTTTTAAAGGAGCTAAAATACGTCTTGCTGCTGCCCCCGTCCCCCGTAGTACCATGCTTAGTTTCCGTGCCGGTACTGCTTCTCCAAACCGAGCCTCACTTCAGAAAATCTGAACCATCTCTTTAAGGTTAGTGTTCATGTGGTAGTTTCAAAAGCATTTTGGCAAAGGCAAATCATTAAAAATAGAGCAATAGAAACTGCTGCTTTTATTTGTATCTGCTGCTGACAAAGTAAAAACATGAACTGTAAATTACGCTAGAAGATAATAATTGCGTGTGTGTGTTCGTGTGTGTTCGTACACCCGCGAGGGCAAGTGGTGGGACCCCGATGACAAATAGCTTCTTAAACCCCTCGCTCTCCTCCGAGAGTCAAAAGTTTTTTTATTTTTTTTTAATTTATTTTTTTTTAATTTCCTCCTTTTGATTAATGAGTCGACATCAGCAAACGGAGCACACAATTAATACCACACTCGTTGCGATCATTATGTTCCCCGAGATTTCTAATGTAATTACGTGCCAATGAATTAACATCGCAAAGGTAATCTGCTGTAGACTGCGTGTTTCTTTTGTGCTCGGACGTTTCCAGCGAGGTAGACTCGGTCTAGGTGAAAGTACAGTTCACAGCGGGTCTGCAGACCCCCGAGAGTGGGCTTACATGACACGCTGTATAACGGGGTTCTTTAGAGGTATCGATTTCCTGTCGCAATGATGTGCGCCCTGAGAGAGGGCTGCAATGAGTACCATTGTGTCAGACCCTGCAAAGGTGTTCATTGATTCATCGGTTAGTTTGTCGTTTCAGGTCGTAACTTTGATAGTTTCTTGTGAGCCGTTTGGTGAAAAGTAGGTCCGGTGATGAAGACTTGTAGTATAATTGGCCTGCGTTTTTATTTTATTTTCAATTTAACGCCCCTGAAAATCTTATTTTCGCTGACCTCCAGTGGCTTTCCTCCGTGGTGTGTGCCGTACATTATCCCTGGCATTGAATAGCAGCTTTTCCCCTCTCCTCCCACCTCCTCCATTCCTGCCCATGCCTCTGACGCAGTCCGGAGGCTTCTACAGCGCAGAGGATGCGGACTCAGTCCCGGCATCGGGGGGGCCAGAGAAGCGAGAGGGGGCTTTCTGCATCTGGACAGCCTCGGACGTTCGGGAGCTGCTGCCGGATGTGGTTGAGGGCGCCACCGGAGCGGCCACGCAGGCAGACATCTTCATGCACCACTACGGGGTCAAGGAGCTTGGCAATGTTGCTCCGGAACAGGTCAGCTTAAATTGTGCTGTGAAATGTGGCCATTGCAACTCTTGCTAGGATCCCAGTTTGAGATGAAAGGAATAAAAGAACTCCGATGTAGTGAATCGGATGAATCATTCGTTTACATGAAAAGAGTAACCATTAAGGTGTTGAAGCTGCTCCATTAAGGCATTAATATGACAGCTGTTCTTATCCCCTGTGCCGTTTTTTGCCAGGACCCCCACGGCGAGCTGCAAGGCCAGAATGTGCTGATCGTGCGCTATTCGGTGGAGTTGACGGCTGCTCGTTTTGGCATCAGCGTGGACAAAGCCAATGAGCTCCTGGCCTCGGCCAGGAGCAAAATGGCAAAAGTGAGGGAGAGTCGGCCACGCCCACATCTGGACACCAAGATGTTGGCCTCCTGGAATGGTAAGGTCGAGATAACTTCACATACGAGTTCATACTACAAGTAAAGGGCGGATTATAAGACGAGGGGCCCCTGTGCACACACACGCAAAAGGCCCCACCAGCTCTCTTACAGAGAAGGAAGACACAGACTTCATGGTTGTTTACCTTCTTTTTGTTGTTGTATGTTGTTCCTTTGTAGTTATTACACATCTCTCTGTAGTTTGGTTTCTCTTTGTGATCATTTTGCCTCTTTGTAGTTGTTTTGTGTGTTACTTTGTTTGTTTGTTTTGGTCTCTTTGTAGACTTTTTGTGTCTCTTTGCAGCTTTTTTGTATCCCTTTTGTAGTTGTGTTGGTTTCTTTATGTACTTTTTGTGTCTCTTTGTGGTTGTTTTGGTTTCTTTGTAGACTTTTTGTGTCTCTTTGTGGTTGTTTTGCCCCCTTTCATAGCCATCTAGCTATTTAGCCATGGTGATAAATGCTGCTCATGCTAAACGGGGCCTGACAGTAAAAACCAAAAGTGGTTGCTTTTGGTTTGAAACAACGGCATCAATTTTAACAACTAGTTGTTCAAATTTATGCCGTTGTTTCAATTTTTAATAGTTTAAATTTTGAGAGTTAATTGCGTTTGTGTGTAATTATTTTGCATATGTAAACAACAAAAGACCGACATGAAGAATTTACATTTGACACAATTAGAAAAAGTCAGCCTGAGTGTAATGCAATACAATTAACAGACCAACCAACCAAACAGCGTTTCTTAACTCAGGCTGTGCGTGGGCATGCTAATCTATCTGCTCAGTAGGATAAATAGGCTCAATATATACAACACCTGCCGCCTAATCAGGTGTGTAGTGTTTCAATGAGGTCAGAGCTGTTTTTGTTTTCGGTGGCACCTCTTGTACTTTGAAGTATATTGTACTATATATATACTATATATATTTATACCAAGGTGAGGTTGGCTGTATGAAACGTAAATACAGTGCAGTGTTAGGCACTTCCACGTTGACTTCATCATGAAGATTTGCATAGATTATTATAGAGGCACTTGTTGTCACTTTCCATTAGTGTGACGCCAATTTGGACATTCAACATTGTTTGTCCAGCACATTGTCTCAGAGGTGATTAATTACAAGAACACAAAGAGCGCGCGCGCGCACACACACACACACACACACACCGGCAAGTTTTGCTCCTAGGCCTGACGTCTCAAGCCGGAGTGTGTTAGTGAGGTAATGAGGCTCTGCGATCCCAAGAACTTTCCAATTAGACGCAATCTCTCCTTCTCCTCTCTAATGAAGAAACCCCTCCATTAATCACCTGTCCTCTGCCGCAGCGCTTTGAAGACCAGGCTGTGCACTGAAACCCGACTTTGATACGCTACATGAAAGAGGAGTGCAGGGGGAAAGAGGGAGGAATGGATGTAGAGAGGGAAGAGAGAAGGAGTGTGAGGGAACGGGGAAACTTCAAAGAGCCGGGAGGAATAACTCAGCTTTTGGACTGTGGTGAGGCCACACACTTGTACCTCAGCCAAAAGAGGATACAATGTTTTAAGCTGAGTAAAAGTCCTTTTTATAACTAATCATTCCACCATCATCATCATCATCTTCTTCCTCCTCAGGTCTCATGCTGTCGGCCTACGCCGGTGTCGGAGCCGTGCTGGGGGACAAGGCCCTGCTGGAGAGGGCGGTGCGGGCGGGCAACTTCCTCAAGGAGCACCTGTGGGATGCTGAACGGCAGACCGTCCTCAGGTCCTGTTACCGGGGAGACGAGATGGAGGTGACACAGATGTAAGAGAAACGATGAGTGTTTTGTATTCAGTGCGAGCACACTGTAGTCACACCGAGAGGGCAACACTTGCACCACCTGTGGCATTGCGTTGCGTGATAAAACTGAAAAAAGTGACCTTTTTATGGTGACCAGCCTGAGGCACATCTGTGTAATAATCAGCATGTTGATATACCGCATCTGTCAGCTGGATGGATTAGGGATTATCTTGGTCACCAACACAAATTTAACAAATCTTTGACCAGAATTTGAGAGAAATGAGCCTTTTATGTGCATGGAAAAAACATGTGAGATCTTGTGATCTTTTAAAAATGTGACAAAAACAAATCACAGATCACAGGGTAAGGACCATTTTATATCCTGCACACTGTCGATCACATGCACTCTCTTCATTTATAATGTGAGATTTACCTTCTTCTTCAGGGGGAGTAGCACTTTTAGCCGAGAAGCAGCGAGCAGTTGCGTTGTGCCGGGGATGACTAACAGGAAACGAGGCTATTGGTTGAAATCAGGTTATGGCAGGAAATCAGAGAACATGTTCACATGCACCGCGGTAACCTGGTTACTGTAAATCTGCATTTAAGCGGGTAATCAGATTTCTCCTCTAGCCTCTATCATACTGCATTTGAAACAAGATTATTGTTGTATTTATTTTAAATGCATTATAGATGCCCGATTATAGAGGCACATTGAGAGGAGAGGCTCTGTGGTGGGAGAACACGCAGGATTGTATGCATTTGAATTTTAACGCGTAATAATTAACTATGATTAGAATAAAATTTTTGACTGACATGGCCAAGAAAAATATTTTCCTCCAGCAGAAATGTAGCTATATTTAGATTTTTATTTTTTTATTTTCAACCCGACAAAAAAGGAAACATAATTTGTCCTTAACATGAGATTTAAGAAGTCAGGTTAGTCTACACAGCCTGATCTGTTATGATGTTTATTCTGTACACATGTTGCTCTCCCTGAGGTTTCTTCTCCCCGTTAAAGATGTGTCCTGATGTGAGGGTCCCGGGACAGAGGGAGTCACATTATGTACAGATTGTAAAGCCCTCTGATTTTTGGGCTATACAAAATATATTGAATTGAAAATTGAATTGGATCAGCTAGTGGTCCACGGATTAGACTGAGAATGTCCTCGAAGCCTAGGAACATAAACACACTGTTGATTGGGCGCCACCACTCCAGGTGTCCTCGTTCTGTTGGCCAGCCCCGTGCCCCAGTTACCGCGAATGAGTGAGTGTGTAATGCAACGGAATCAGCAGAAGGAAAAACATGCCGGAAGACCCGCAACGAGCGTGATGAAAGGCCCACAATGTTAAACACGGCTACAGACTCTTGCCTAAACGCCGTGGCCCTGTTTCCGCGGCTCTTGTCCCATTCATAAGTGTCCAGCTCAGGGCGGTGTCGGCATTTAGAAAGCTTACCGAGGCCATTTTTCTCAAGTCTGATTCAGCGTCCAGCTGTGGGTAAACCACTCCGTCATACCGGGCACATATGGGCCGCGGACTAGATATTCCAGGAGGAATGGTAGGTGCTCAGACTAACTGGGTTAATGGTCTGTGGAGGCGTTGAGGAGCTGATGCCGTGGATGTTCGGTGGCTCTTCCCTGGCACCGGGTGATTGAGAGTCTTCTGGGACCAGAGGGAGGCTGAGATGGTGGCAAGGTCCCAGTGGGGACGCTGGTGATGTCAACTCACTCTTGCTTGATTTGTCAACATGTTTGTTTGGTCATACGCGGGCTGCCCTGCATCACGAGTTCTTCGGTGATGAAGTGTGAGCAAGCGCCATGACGGCTAGCTGTAGAAACTTTCATGAAGCAGCTGTGGGTTGAATTCAGGTCGTGTCAGAGTGGTGTGGTTATCTGATATGCCTTTATGTATTTATTGAACATGTTTGTTTCCATAACCTTGGGCATTAACATGCTGTTAATGCAGTCACTGCTCCCCGTCAGCCACAAGAGTCAGCATGGAATCAGGCAGCGACGGTAAACCGTTGCCGCCACGTTGGAAGCACACTACTCTACAAATATTATTGGAGGACGTCGGTGTAACATAATTAGAATTAATTAAGGGGCCTTGCCCAAATAATGATAAATGGCTTCAGACCATCAATCGCACATGCTTTTGGCAATATAGTGTATCAATTAGTAGGACTGCACAATTACTGTAATATGAATTGTGATCAGTGTTTTGGCTTCCCACAATTACATAAACGTGATGCCATATGCTGCATTTCAAATCAAGCATGCCTTATACTAGCAGCCGGCCACCAGGGGGCGATCAAGACGTTACAGTGGTCGTCTGTGTGGCTGCAGTCCAGACCAGGGGAGGAACATACTGTATATTACAGAACAATGCACTGTACTTGGGTGAAGAAGAACCTTAGTTTAAGTCTCATGTTGATGCAAAGCTTTGCACATTAGCAGGAATGTAGCACTTGAAGGTGAAAGCAGTTCTCTGTATTGTATTGTATTTATTTTGTTCTCGTCAATAGATCCCTTAAAATGACCAACACAAATATAAAATAAGGAAAATGACCATTTGATGACTACGGGTGCTTTCACACCATGTTGGGTTCATTTGGAGAAAAATACATTTTAGTTCAGGACCAGTCTCTGTTCACACTGAATTTTTTTACAATGAAACCAAGAGGAGTAAACATGAAGTTCTACAGGCTGACGGGGGTTATTAGCATTATCGGGGCTACATAGTACATAAAGTACACAGGGTCTGATACTAGCAGGGCAGTTTTTTGACCTATTAATCAGAGAAATGTGTTGATTTGTAAATAGGTTATACACATGGCCTTATACACTTCATGAAAGCTGTTCAGGAAGCAATCTCATTGATACGCTGATGGGTTATTAGCAGTTTAGCATTTTAAATCATGACAAAATCCGCACCAAAGTCGGACCAAGACCCACCTTTTTAAGCAGCCTCGGTTCGGTCCACATCAGGGGTTCGATTGGCTTTAAAACCGGCGCAAATAAACTTTACTAACCTGAATCCAGGTTGTATTCCGATGTCGTAGTGCCTCCTGCAGCATTAGAATACACCGCTACACCTCCCCGTCTTACATTCACACACAACACGGCTTCTGGAGTGTATCCTGTGCTCTGAAGATGTGATAGTGAGCGACAGAAGATAAAATATTAGGTGTCACTGCACGGGTGGCTGCACAGAGAGCAATTAAATGAGAAAGGCTGGATTGTGAGTCGAATTCCAAAGGTCCCCACGTTGCCACAGTAAAGCAAACAGCTACATTTCCTGATTAACGAGTCAAACAGGGAAATCTCTCTTACTGTGTCTGAGTTTCATCTTTTCATGTGTCATCTGTTATTTCATATGGAATAATGGCACAGCGTTATAGCTCGAGCAAGCGCATTCGATTATTCTCTAACATAAAGGTCACTGGCTGCTGTAAAGCTGATGGTAGTCGATGTGTTTGTGTCCCACATCACCCCAATAAGTCTCTCCCTTACGTAGTGGAGTTAGCTAGCGTACGAGAGAATCATAATGAAGCTATTATTATTATAAAGCCGTCCCCCGAGTGCTGCAGTACGACACGGCAGACTTGACGAGTCGTTGTGTCTGTGCTCTCGGGGAAATGACTCATTTAACGCGCACCGCTGAAGGTGTGAGGGAGAAGGCTGTGGCGTGTTTCTCGAAGGCTTTTCACTTCTTTGTTGTCAGCGAGGCCCCTCTTGGGGTTGCGTCTCGGGTTTGTCGTCCCTGTGGCTGGGAGTCGCCTCAACCAGATGACATCATCGCAGTGTGAGAGAAGGGAAAGAGTCAGGGAGTGTGTTAGTGTGGTAGGAGGCAGCACAGATCCATATCACTAACGGTACCAATGAACATCTACAAAGTTTCATTTTACGTATATACATTTTATAGAAATTACACAACAAAAAAAGACCCAAGAGACGGACTCTGTTTACATCAGCGATGCTCGAACATAGTCAGAGTTGATGGAAAGGGTTTCCTCGATGCTGAATTGTTCATGTTAAGCTGTCGGCCATACCGCCCGGAGAATCGTTTTGTTGCTGCTGTTTGCATTCCATGACTGTTTTTGTTTTGCCATTTTAGCACTGTGCCTGTACCTGGATCCCCTGACTGTCCCCTGGCTCTACTCCCACCATAGGTTTCGATATCTTTGGTTTGAGTGAACCGTCTCAACAACTATGGGATGGGTTTCAATGCAATTTTACAATAGACATCAATGTTCCCCACAGAAAGAGTTGTGGGAACTTTAGTGAACCTCTAGTCCAGTTTGGGATAGAACAGCTTAGGGAAAGTTAATCAGAAAAAGGTGGGAAAGTTAATCAGATGTGCTTTTGCTGAATCAACTAGTTGGTGTCATTGCTTTTTATATTTCTTTCCTCTTGTAAAACACTTCTAATAATGTGGAAGTTTCACCTGAGGTTGTCCTGGCTTGTTCTTGAGCGCGGAATGGGCTCGTTCTTACACTTTGTGGCCACAAGGGCGCAGCGACGAGCCCGATACGGGTCGGCGCACTAATATGAGGCAAGAAGAGGCTCATTCATGCTTCATGTGAAGTGATTTCAAGCAGCGTGTTTCCGTTTCACTGGAGAATAGGCGTCAAGGAGGAAATCTAACGGGTTGGTTTGGCAAATGCAGTTCAGGTTAAATTCCCAACCTCTGATAAAAAGCTCCTCCCAGCTGCTTCCCTAAGCTTCTCTATTATCAGTCACAGAGCCATTAGCATTGCTAAAGACACTTCTGTTTGTCATGATGTGAAATTCCAAGGGCTCCCTTTTGTATTGACATTCAACTGGCCATATCCTGTCTAGTGCAGGAGTGCTGGCTGTCTCGTTTCAACTTAGTCAGTCAACATCTGTCTGTCTTTCTTTCTGGCAAAAGATATGACTCTCGACCTCTCAAAGCCTCCTCTCTTGACCACCAGCCCCGCCCGACACGGCACTATCTGACTTCCTGTCACCATCCGTCCCCCTGCACTCACCCAGATGCTATTGTGGGAATTGGAGGGATGGGTGGGGGGTTGGATGGGCCTTGTTTTTGGGGTGTAGGTGTGATTGAATAGTACATCACATTCAAAACCAGCGCCACAGAGAGCAGGTTGTAAATTTGAGACGGACTGTTAAAGGGCAGATTTGTAGGTGAAAGGGAGGAGGTTTATATGAAAGTGTGTTGCAGGATAAAAAAATGCAAGAGTTACCTGAGAGAATGTAGAATGAGATGCAGGTGAGGGGGGGAGGCGGGATGGTCTAACTGTAACCGCATTCGTTCTTTATGAACATAGCTGTGTGTGCATGTGTGAATGTCTCCTCTACAGTATCAAGTGCAAAAAGAAGGCAGATTAGTGATTTCACTTAGAGAAAAGTGCTGCAGGGAGAGATTATACTCAGCCCGCTATGCACATCATAATGTATCCCCAGTACTGTCACAGATGACTCCTTCAGGCCTTTTTGTTATCCAAGCCCAATTCTTCTGGGTTTTCTCTACTCTCTTGATTGAAACCATAGCCTGATCATCTTCAGGCATCGTAAACAAGCGTTCGGTACATAAAAAGATAAAGGTGCAGAAAACAAGAAGCTGAACTAGTTCACCGACGGCAACCCATCCTCCCGCCCTGATCCATCGATGCATTTTTAATGAAAACTGTCCTCATTCTCGCTCTCCTCCCGCTGACTTTCCTCTCCCATTCTCCAGATCTCCGCCCATCTCTGGCTTCCTGGACGACTACGCCTTCGTCATTTGCGGCCTGCTGGACCTGTACGAGGCCACGCTGCAGACGGAGTGGTTGCAGTGGGCCGAGGAGCTGCAGCTGCGGCAGGACGCGCTGTTCTGGGACGACCAGGGTGGAGGCTACTTCTGCAGCGATCCCGGTGACGCCACAGTGCTGCTGCAGCTCAAAGAGGGTGAGGGATGGATGCATCCTTTTTTGTGTGACGGACATAACCCTTCACTTAGTCAACAGTTGTGTCAGAACAAAAACAATGTTTACGTCGTTAGCCCATCAGGCTTGAGCCCCGTTCATTTAAACGTTGGTGGGACGGAGAAGGTGACGACAACACAAGCTGTCATACTTTCTTCAAATTCGTTTTTTACTCATATTGTACTTTACTATTATTGTTGTTGTTGTCTATTGAGAGGTGAGGACACAAATCAGACCTAAAGACTTTTGCTTATTGGAGCTACAAAATGTGCAAATAAATAAAAGGGATAGCCCATGAAGTCAAATTTGCTCTTATGTAGGCCTATAAACTAATGAATGAATTGATAAATGTCATGTAGCCTATGCCAACACAAGGAATAAAAGACATGGCTTTGTTCCCAAACCAAAGTTTTGGACGAATTCACATTTTGACCCGATGACAGTGTCAGAAGAAATGTTAGGTGATCACCAGCGTCATTACAGTTCGTCATGTGGGGCAACGCCATTGTCCGTACCAAATGTTTTTGGCAATCCATTCAATAGCTGTCGAGACATTTGGCCCAAAACGAGACATGTCAGCCTCATGGTGGCGCTAGAGGAGACGTCAAAAGATCAACAAAGCCGATAGGCTCCGTCCTCCGTGAAGAGATGTCGGAATATTTCAGTCCGGATTGAAGCGGCGGCCTGACGACAACAGTAACAGACGGTATCATTCAAGTGTGGAAAATAAATAAGGCCTTCATGCTACTGCTGCTGGCTGCAGCTCTTAATAGGTTGAGAGATTCAGTGAAGGATTGATGGACAGGTGAAGGATTAACAGTACCACTGGAGCATACCTCTGTGGCTTAGACAAGGATGGATAGCTCAGGCAGATGAATAAATAACAGAGTTTTAGGCCTGCAGACACTGCAGACAGTTTGTTAATATTATCAACCCATCGCCACTATCTGGTTGCAGTGATTTAAAGGCATAAAAAAGAAGCAATGTCATTTATTTGGAAAAAAAAGGAAAAATGGTATCGGTTATCGATTGGTTCGGAGGTAAGCAGCTTCTGCTGTAATATCTGGACCCGGTTACCTCTATCGCTTCACCACAGGACAGGACGTAAGCAAGGATAAACGGATGGATGGATAGATGAACGGGTAGAGGATAAAAGATGAGGGCAGAGGAATATTGACCCCCTCCCCCCCATCTACCTCCAGTAAAGTGCAACTGTCTCTGACTCAAGTTGAACTTCTCCACCATGAAGGCACTCAAAGCCCGATGCTCTGATTCTTCAGCTACTTTTATCAGCAGACCTGTCAAACCTGTCTGCATTGTGACTCCTAGACCATCTGCCTTTTGACGGATTGAAACGGCATGTTGGAATCGGATATCCACTTCCTGTCTCACCTCTATTACATCTTCACTTCATCCTGGATCTTTTTTTTTTTTTGTTCTGTTTTTTTACTCAATGCTTTTTCCTTCTTTTTGTCCTTTGGTGCCCTTAAACCTTGACTTTGAGCTCAGGCATTGTGTACACTATTGACATAAAAGGACTCCAAAAAGTGGAATAAGACAGTGTGACACTAACAAAGTCATTTATCCAACTTTTTTTATCATAATAAGTGGACAGCTTTATGTAGATTTGTTTTCTCAGTTATTGATAGAGGGACCAAAGGATTGATGGGATATAAATTGAAATTTGTCTGACCTTGACATTCACAGCTGCCCTTCTTCAGCTACCGTCCACTCGTCCAACTGATGGCTGCTGGCAGTTCAGAGAAGCTGACACCTTGTGGACATGCAGACATTTACCTTTGATCTGTCAGACCAAAGTTTCCAGTCTGGATCCAGGTGTTTTCAACTCTACTCAGCAAGTCTAGACATCCATCCCTGACCCGCTAAGTTGAATCCCACGGGAAGAATGCACAGCCCCACATGTTGAGAAGTGTAGACATATAGGTTAATTATGAAACTGTGTTTCTGGGTCTAGGCAATGGAAAAAAAACTGTCGCACCCGTGCGGCAAACTCTGGTTCTGAAAAGTGAAGTAAATTCGGAAGTCCCTTAAAACTTGCATTCTCTCTACTGACCAGCAGGGGGCGACTCCTCTGGTTGCAAAAATAAGTCAGATTGTATAGAAGTCTATGAGAAAATGACTCTACTTCTCACTTATTTATTACCTCAATAAATGTTGTCAACATGAGTTTATGGTTTCAATCTCCAGTTTCAAGTCTTCTTCAATGCAGCATGATGTTCATTTAGTGAATTATGGTCCATTTAGAGTGATTAACAGATTAACAGAACGCTATCGCTACCAGAGCCATATGCTGCGTCTCTACACACTCCAAATATGGTAACTTCTGTTCACTTGTTGCAAAAAACCAAGATGGCGATGGACACTCAAGGCCTCAAAACCACAGTCCAGAAACCAATGGGTGATGTCACGTTGACCTCTTCCACTTTTTAAATACTGTCTCTGGTCACACCCACTTCTTCTACGGTGCATACATTCATATCATCGCAGTAATAGTAAATGTACCTTTGTGATTCAACACCCATATCTTAGACTGCTAATAGTAAGATTTAACCTCTTCGTAAGAAAACAAACAAACTCTGAACTGACAATTCTGTCTGGACATTGTCAGTTTTAGTGTTCCAGATGCCACAGCGCTATATTTTTTTACCTAAAAAGGAAAGACACGCACACTAACTCATGAGCCTGTGACGGATAGCTTGGTGCAAATAGTTGAGACAGGAGCAACGTGCCACAGATGGGCGGGGGAGCAGGGGAACAGGGAAAAAGCTAATAGTTATTCTTGTTAAGAACCGTTGACAGATCGGAGATGATGGCAGTGTGCGGGGGTGCCTGTCCCTGCGCCGTCACACCTGCATCTGTGTGTGTGTTTATCGGAGCTGACGGTTTCTCATCTGAGAGGATTGACTGTGCCATTATGGTGGCGGCGCTGTGTAGGGTTGAAGCCCATTAGTGACGCTACGGCCGCTGTAGTGTGGACGCCTGTCCCAGCAGCACAGCCTGTCACCGCAAGACGGATTACCCCACCACACTACCTTTTACAGCCCTGCCACACTCCCCTGTGTGTGCTTTTGGGTTTTTTTTAGGAGTGAGGTTAAAATGATATACGGTATCTGTTTGGCAGTGTTTTTAGCTTTTATTAGGAAATAAATCTGCTGCGTTTGTTCAAATCTCTAGTGACGCTTGTGGCCAAAAATGCGCATTCAGATGTATTCCCACTCGACAGAACTAAAGAAAAGTGGATACATCAGCTTTGTGTCGGTTCAATCCAAAAGCATCAGTGTGTCTATATAGACTCCTGTTATTAACAATTTATTCATGGTATTATTTATTTCAGAACACTTTGGAGATCAATAGTTTTAGTGCAGTGTGTTGCTTCTTGGCTTTTCTATCATTGTGACTTTCATTAGTCTGTTTTGTGTGTGTGTGTGTGTGTGTGTGTGTGTGTGTGTGTGTGTGTGTGTGTGTGTGTGTGTGTGTGTGTGTGTGTGTGTGTGTGTGTTAGAAAGCTCTTTTTTTCTCTTTTATTTCAAAATGACCAGAAACAACGGTCCACACATGGTTGGTGTAGAGTAATAGTCCACTGTTGGTAATATAGAAATGTATGTATGTGTGCGTGCGTGCCTGCCTGCCTGCGTGCATGTGTGCCTGCATGCGTTTGAAGGCAGTTTTGTCACAGCTGTGTGTGTGTGTGTATGACCCTTTTTCCATGGGGCTCTTTAAGAGAAGAGATATGTGAAATGTGGAAAGCGGACAGACTCAGTATAGTGTGTATGTTGAGGCTTCCCTTGCCACGGGGCTCAGGGAGAGATAAAAAACATACTGCAGGATCAAATCAAATTGTTTCTGCAGTTCAGTCATGCGCGGGGGGTTCACGTGCATACGGGATTGTAAATGCATGCTTGTCATAAAAGATATAGTATATCCAGTGTACAGTAGAGTTTTCAGTGCGTGGAGGGTCGTCTTTGCTATTTTTATTTTTTTTACCTCAAATTGCAGTTTGACTTAAAAAGCGGCTTGTGTGATCTACCGACTCCAAAGTGTCTCTCTCTCTTTCTCTTACACAAACGCACGCACACGCACTCACACATTCATAGATTCTGGCATCAGAGCATTGGTGGGAAGCAGACGTGCAGCGAGGTCATGGGTTATGAGAAGATCACCTCCGGGCTCTCATTGGACACTGATAAGAGATAAGGAGTGATCACTTAACAGGGCTAAGTCATGAGGTCATCTGTTAGTCCCATCACATCACACCACACATGGAGACTCTGGGATGGGATGTGTTCTGGAGGAAGTCACGGGAAGGCGTAGAGTTTGACTGAGTAGCTTGCCATCCTTCCTGTTAGTGCGACAAATTGTCACGGAGAGTCTAATGTTTTGTATCCGATGTTTCACATTTGTTACAAGAGCCATGTCTCATGAAAGACTACAGTGCACGCATTATACATCTTGTGAATCCCTCCATACATCATCCTTTTGACTCTGTGTGCCATCACTTTGCCTGAATATTGTTGATCATTCAAACTCTTGCTATTCGCATACATCGACACTGTGAAACCTGCGAGATGCAATATTGTTTAAAGCCAGACTGTAATGAAGAATGATGAAAATGTCGTGTTATCTCTCTCTTTGTGTGTGTGTGTGTGTGTGTGTGTGTGTGTCTGTGTGTGTCTGTGTCTGTGTGTCTGTCTCCCTCAGATCAGGACGGAGCTGAGCCCAGCGCTAACTCGGTGTCGGCGTCCAATCTCCTGCGTCTGTCCCACTACTCCGGCAGACGGGAGTGGCTCCAGAGGTCCCAACAGCTGCTGGCAGCGTTCTCCGACCGCCTGACCAGGGTCCCCATAGCGCTGCCTGAAATGGTTCAGGCCCTCATGGCCCAGCACTACACGCTTCAACAGGTCAGTCTTCCATCCGTCCGCTCACAAGCTCACGGGGGGTTGATGCGGCGTGTGCCAGTTTTGGGCTCACGCCTCAAGTGTTTGCTCGGCTGTTTAGCCCAAACTCGTTTTTTCACGGCCTGAAAGCGAGAATTTTCCGCCTGTCTGCCGAATTGTGCGAGCACGATGGACATTAAAGTTACCGACAAGAAGTGAACCAAAACAATACACGGCAGAACCGCTCCCAAAGCTGAGCAAGAGGCTGGTGAAACAACGAGCGGCCCCACATTGGCTCTGCTGACTCACAGCTGTTGTCAATAACCGTGCACTGAGGTGGAAACGCATCAGTGCAGGTAAAGTAGAGCGTCACAGCCGGCCACAGTGCGACAGAGGGCCCTGTTAACAGTAAGATCATTGGATATTTTACAAGTTTATCTTATGATAATCTTGTCTGACTCATATATCATTGCTAGCAACTGCAGCATTTTTCATTATTGATGAACATGTATAATTCCTTTGATCTATATCTATATGGTGAGAAACAGCAGTCACGACTTGATCTCCTCTAATTGATTTTATATATTATATAACAAAGGTGTTCCATTTATTGTACAAATATGACAGAAAGCTGATCCAGCATACTGTTTGTTTGGAAGTTCTTTTATTGCTGAGAAGAGAAAATCAGCCAGATTCAGATGACAGTGCAACAACATACAGCTCAGAAGAAGAAGTCATATTTTATTTGTCCCTCTTTGGGGAAATTACATTTTTATGTTTAAACTGAAGATTTAGTGGTTTCTCACACTTTTTTTTTTTTTAGAGGTTTTGGTTATTTCATTTCCAAATTACATATTGATATCTCTTGCAAAAATGTTCCAACCCTAATCATTATACATTTAAAGCAACGTCAAGAGGTGTTATTCATGAACAATTCTTATAAGACCAAGCATATATAAAGCCGGAGTATTACTACCACCTCCTAAAGTTTCCTCCTCATCAAAAATCAGACCCCCTATGTCTATTAAATAAAATCAACGACGTACATTTACAAATCATTTCAACTGTATTTATCATTTTTTAAGTACTTTTAACATACAGTCACTGACCTTGAACTTGTATAACACTATAAAACACTATAAAGCACTTGGATACAAACCCTTTTTGGATAAAAATGGTGTTCAGAGGCCTCTCCTTATTAAAGAAAGTGTTGACACAGTAAAACAGGTCGTCAGAGGACAGTGGCATTATCTCAGCCCTCTACATACATGCACACTAACCCCCCCCCAAGTTTTTTAACAGCCGTCATGCATTTAATGGATTATTTGAAATGTTAACACCCTCAGTTAGCCTGAAACCAGCACACTAGCAGAGCACAGCAGGATCCCCCCCCCCACCCCCCAAAGTTTCCCGGTCTACAGCAAAACTTTTCGTTAGAAGTCGTGTGCTGCACAATCAAAGGAACAGAGTGAAATGACAGTAAAGGAGGATAGCGAGCTGTCTGTCTGTCACACATGACCTGCGGAGGACGAGTCGGGGCTACGGGGCGAGGCTAACGAGCTCCGAGGGCAAAGCTAACACCTGCCTCCCCTTGTTACTGCTACAACTACGCCCACCTCCAGTGTGTCACCTTTCCCCTCTTATTTCACTCTATTGATACCCTCTCATCTCGTTATCTCTCTGTCCCTGTCATCCGTACTTTTCCTCCTCTCACCGGCTTTTCCCTTTCATTTTTTATTTCTTTTGTTAGATCGTGATCTGTGGCCAGAGGGATGCCCCGGACACCGCCAGTCTTCTAGCAGCAGTCAACTCCCTCTTTCTACCACATAAGGTGTGTGTGTGTGTGTGTGTGTGTGTGTGTGTGTGTGTGTGTGTGTG